ACAAAGTGACCAATTATCGGGGCTAATTCATATTAGGAGAGGGGCAGGGGAGCCATATCGGGTCATAGTGCTGGGTGGTGGGGGAGGGGCTTAAAGGACAACCCCCCCCTTACAATGGAATCCATAGTGCCCAGAGGGTGGGTGGACGGACTCCGCTACATAGACAAGATAATAGGATTTTATAATATTAAAATAGTATTTTCTGTCTATTTAATGTCGGAGCACAAATCCAATGTATGATCCGGTCAGGTTTTTATAGCTAAATGAAACACCAGCTGGGTCTGGGCAGCTGTACCTGTGTCCCCACTGCTGAAATCCAATGACCTGGCTGCCCTGGGGCTTGTAGTCCCACAGCTTGTAGCAAATCCGATAAAATCATGAATATGATGAATATTATTATGTATATAAATACAGTGACTATTACTATTTATAATGTCAAAGCTGTAAACAATGAATAATAATCATCATCACATATGATGGAAAAGTTGGAATGCAAGCTCCTCTGAGCTTATACTAGAAGGAATAAGTTTATGTTATTTTAGAAATGTTTAAATCAAACAACACTGTAACGCACTGCAATATATGTAAACGTTAAATTATTACATACAATAAATACAAGTATTCTACTATTTATAATAATGTCAAAGCTGTATGAATAATAATAATAATAATAATAATAAGCCAATGGTGGAAAAGTTGGAATATAAGCTACTCTGGGCAGACACTGTAATGAATGAGCTTCTGTTATTTCAGAAATATTTAAGTAATTCTGTAATAATAATTTACAGCACTAAGATTAAATCATTATATAAATACAATTACTACTGCTATAATAATGTCAAATATGTATAAACAGTAACATATTTAACAATAATATCAGATATAAAGTAGTAATAGTATTATTATTATTGTAAGCTCCTCTGGTGCAGAGACTGATGTGACTGGCTCAGTGTTCTCTGTACAGCACTGCAGTATATGTTAGAGCTATAGAAATGTATGATGATAATAATAATATGACTGTGGAGGGTAAATTAGAGTGTCAGCTCCTCTGGTGCAGACTGAAGTGCCGGAATAATGAGGTATACACTAATACTGTATACATCCCGGTGCATACGTCATGGCTCTGCTCCATGAAGAATATTATCTTTGTGCTTTCAGCTGCTATTTCCGTAACCAGAATAAGAAAGGCTGCGATTTGTTTTGCTATAAATCTGGATTTGTGATTTTCTGGCAGCTCGGGAATAAAAATGTGAATATGGATCGTCCTTTGTAGGGGGCGATGTGGATTGCCTCGTATCGGTCCTCTGCCCCTCATCTCTTTGTTCTCCATCACAAATTGGCATTTCATATGGAAGGCTTTTGTTTGCGGAGTATCAGCAGAAGTGTGAAAAATCACTCTGGGTGGAAGAAATCTGCCGAATTTCACTGCTGATTCGTTATATTCGGGTTAATTATCATGATTACAAAGCCCGATCTATAGGATTGGGTGATTGGGTCAGATGAGCCTTCTAATGACCAACAACTTATCAGCCTCTTAATGACCGAACTTTAAATTCTTTTATCCTATTTTCATCAACCGATTTATTTTTTACTTTACCCTTTTATTTTACTTTGTATTTATTTTTTAAGGTGTACAACTTCACCACAAAACGGCTATAAACTTGTTGTAATTACGAATCACAAGTTGTATTTCAATATTAATTCATATCGAATGTTTACTACCTTGTATACTATTATTGTATTTCAATCCTCATTTGCATTTTAATTCACATGCACTTCAACAAATGTTTATAGAAACTATTCTGTTGTTTTTAGTTTATTTGTATTTAAATGCAACTATTCTCAACATGATTAATATAAATAAATACAAAATATTCTCAACATGAATAATAGAAATAAATAGAAAATGTATTCTTAACATGATTATTATGAATAATAAAGATATGCTCAACTTGATTAATATAAATAAATAAAAATATATTCTAAACCTGATGAATATGAATAAAAAAAGATATCCTCAACATGATTAATATGAATAAAAAAGATAATCTCAAGTTGATTGATATAAATTTAAAAAATATATATATTATAAACATAATGAATATGAATAAAAAAGATTTTCT